CACTCTGCTATACATACATAGGGTTTCCATGAGACTGAAGGGGGAAAACAAAATGACAACAACAAAAACAGCCTTTAAGAGTGAGTAGTATTTCTTGACCAAGCATGCTATCAATATGCATTGATAATTATTGGCAATTGGAATACAAAAGTTGGAAACTTTGGGAAAGGAAAAGTAATTAGAATCTATGGCCTTGATGATAGAAACAAAGCTGGAGATCATACACAAAACCAACAGGCAGTTTGCAAGGCCAATGACTTGCTCATAACAAAGTCAATAATATAAAATATTCACATGAATGTTTCTAAAAGGAATATACAAAGAAATCAAATTGGTGACATCTGAGGGAAGAGACAAAGAGAAGCTCAATATCAGCAGTTAAACTGAGGCCAGAGGCTGACTTTGGAATAGTCAATTGCTCATATAAAAGTTCAGTTTGAAGCTGAAAAAAATTAAACAAGTCCACAAGAGCCAAATATGGCCTGGAGTGTTGTGGCAGTTGCATAATGTATTGTCAACTTGAGGAAGGGGTGGAATCTAGCCTGCCAATCAGGTCACAGCTTGATGACCTCATTTGGAGGTGCAACAGAGATAGATAGCTCACTGGAAGCCAGACACACACTCCCTCTGCTACACATTGCTGTTGACAAGCCACATGAAGCTATGCTGATAGAGCCAGGAGCCCTGGAGTTGGAGGAGTCATGTGGAGACCCACACCAACACTGAGATGTTGCTACTGCCACTGGGTCCACAAGAGTTTCCACCCACTGGCCTGTGATCTTCCTGCATGTCATTGCATGTGTTGTGTGACTCTGAAGAGGAATTCATAGACTGGTATGAGACATGTGGGCTAATATCAGACTTATAGACTTGATCTGGACTGGGCTGAGATGTTTTCTTAATCTCCAGTTACTCTTTACATAAAGCTCTTTCTTATACACACATGAGTCTCCCTGGATTTGTTTCTCTAGTCAATCTCACCTCATTAAGTATATTCCACCTGAATTTTGAGAACATCTCAAGAGCAGACTTGTATTGAACACTGATCACAGAAAGCATGATGAACTGTGGGATAGCATCAAGAACATCATATATGAAGAAAGCGAACAAGGTCATTAAAATGCTTGACGAGGAGAAAAGATCAAGCTGGATGTTTGAAGAGACTGTAAAACTTCCTCTAAATTATAGTCTCTAAGGCAAATGAAAGATATGATGAGGTAGAAGAACTGAACAAAAAAATGTTAAAGGGCATCACCAAAGGACAAAGTAAAGTATTATAATGAAATATTTCCAAACTTAAGAATCAGGATCCCAAAAAGGACGACGATTCTCAGCATATGTTAATCTGAAAGAAGTGAAGAAAATACCCAAGCCTCACATTCCAATATTGAAAGATTCTATGAGCAAACTATTGATTCAGAAAGCATCAAAAGATGATGGAAAGAATACAATGTCATTGTACCAAAATAGAACTAGTCAACATTCAACCATTTCAAAAAGTAGATATGATCCAGAGCCGATAATGAACATGTCCAACATGCAAAGAAAGCATTAGTCGACAATGAGGCTTCAGGAACTGATGACAGTCTAATTGAAATGTTTCAATAAGTTTGTGAAGCACTAGAAGCACTGACTTGTATATGCCAAGAAATGTGGAAGGCAGTAGCCTGCCCAACTAATTGATCATTCCAAAGACTGGTGACCCATCAGAATGTACAAATTATAGAACAATACATTAATATCACATGCAGGTAAAATTTTGCTGAAGGCATCTAACAACAGAGTTGCAGCAGAGAACATTTACAGGAGCTGCCAAAAGTTCAGGTCCGATTCAGAAGAGGACATAGAAACAGGGATGTCATTCCTGAAGTCAGACAGATACTGGCTCAAAGCAGAGAATACCAGAAAGATGTTTATTTGTGTTTTGTTGACCATGTAAAAGACATTCAACTGTGTGGATCTTAACAAACTATGGACAGCCTTGAGAAGAATGGAAATTCTAGAATTCTTCATTGTGCTCACGTGGAACCTGCACATGTATCAAGAGACAGTTGAGCAAAGAGAACAGGGAATACTTAATGGTTTCAAGTCAGGAAAGGTATGTGTCACAGGGTTGTATCTTATCAGACTTTTCTCTCTGTATGCTGAGGAAATTATCAGAGAAGCTAAAAGTACATGAAGAAGAATTTGTCATCAGGATTGAAGGAAGGCTTATTAACCACCTGTGTTACACAATTGACACAATCTTGCTTGCTGATGAAGGTCAAGGATTACAGGCTTCAGTATGGATGGCAACGCTATGTAATAAAAACAAAAATGTTCAAGATTGGACCAGTAGATAACATAATGATAAAGGAAACAAGATGGAAGTTGTCCAGTATTTCATCCTGTATGGATCCACAATCAATGCTTGTAGAGCAGCCATCAGGATATAAAAGAATACCTTGCCTTAGGTCAATCTGCTGCACGAGACCTCTTTAAAGTGTTGAACAGCAAAGATGTTACTTTGAAGACTAAGGTGCACCTGACCCAAGCCATGGTATTTTCAGTTAGCTCATATACATGTGAAAGTTGGCTCTTGAGTACGGAAGACTGAAGAAGAATCAATGCATTTGAATGATAGCAAAGAACACTGACAGTGTCATGGATTTCCAAAAGAATGAACAAATCTGTCTTGGAAGAAATGCAGTCAGAATACTGAGGAGAGGCAAGGACGGTAAGACTCGCCTCAGGTACTTTGAACATGTTATCAAGAGAGGCCAGTCCCTGGAGAAGGACATCACGCTTGGTAAAGTGGAGGGGCAGCAAAAACAGGAAGACCCTGCAAAAGATAGATTGGCACAGTGGCTGTAACAATGAGCTCACGTGTAACAATTGTAAGGATGGTGCAAGACCAGGAAATATTTTGTTCTATTGTATGTAGGCTCTCAATGAATAGGAATCAACTCGAAAGTGCCTGACAACAGCATTGCGTTGAAGATATTCATTTCATTCTCCTCTCTCATTTTCCCCCTTCTCCTCCTCTGCCTTTCCTCCTCCTTCTGATTTACATCCATTCATACTTCACTACATGCCAGAAACTTTCGTAGTGCACACCCTGGTGCAGCTGTTAGGAACCCCGGAACTGAACTCAACTGAAGTTCACTTTAGTGAATTTATGTTCCATTGGACCCAGTAGACAGTTGATTAAAACTATGTAATGTCAACATTTTTTTCATTATTTATGGTAATATATCTAAAACTTTACATTAGTTGTGGAAATTTAAAAAGCATAATTATCAAATGCTTCCTAGTAATGGATTTTTCTTTCCCCTTGGGCAGTCACTGCCAAAATAAAAAGTCAATAAACCACATTTTACTGAGGCTCTTTGGGCTTATATTTCCGTGTTTCCTCACCTACTAGTATTGTGTCATCGAGGGAGGTTGTTTAACCTCGTTGAGTCTAGAGCGGCTTCATTTGTTACATATGAAAGTAAGGGAGTTAGTTAGATCAGGAATCACCAGTAAAAATTAGAAAATGACTAGGAAGAGATTGCTACTGCCGTGTTAAATGAAAACTAAACAAATAAGAGTGCCAATAAGAAATCTGAAAAGATAATGGCAAAAATCCTTCACGACACCTCATGTTCCTTCCAGTGGACCAGGGAACCCGTGGGTATGACACATGCAACGTTCAGGAAGGGGACATTTGCAGCAAACTGTGCTCTAAGGCACCTGCCACTTAACCAATGTTACTTGATGATGTAAAAGGCCCTGCTTTACATTTCTCCGGAGTAATGAGAAACAGAATGGTTTTTAATGATTTCAATTCATTTACCCTAGTCAGTTGATCAGCCATAAAGTCATGTAAAATAGTAAGCAGATGGTTGTTCAAAAGTAATTTCTTTCTTCTTTAAGAAATGTTGAGAAGGTGCTGCCTTCTCTAAGTTTGGGCGGGAGCAACTTCAAAAAGCAGTTTCCTTTGTATTCCAGCATCGCTGCTTTGAAATCTCAGGCAATGTCATTAAAAATTCTCACAACCTAGAGTAAACATAGGCAGTGAGGTATAAATATCCATATTTAAATTTTTGCAGTGCTTTAAATTGAATTTTCAGGCATACTGTTTTGATCTAAGATGGATTTCCAGACATTTGTTCATATTTTCCTCAGAAATGCTTTTGATCAAAGTGCCATTCCACTGAAAATGTGGATGGCTCACAGACCTGTATCTTACCGTTTCCCCGAAAGCAAGACATCCCCCGAAAATAAGACCTACTTACAGTTTTGCCTCTCGCTGAAATATAAGGCATCCCCCTGAAAATAAGACCTCTCCAAAAATAAGGCCCCAAAAAAACTACCGTAACTCTGGACCGTAGCAGTGAGCGGCGCTGCGCAGCTCACTGTTGGCCGCAGCGCAGCCGGAGCAGACAGGAAGTGTGAGGTCTTTTAATAAACCAATAAACGATAAATATGTACCATGTTCTTCTTCATGGAAAAATAAGACATCCCCTGAAAATAAGACCTAGCGCATCTTTGGGAGCAAAAATTAATATGACACTGTCTTATTTTCGGGGACACGGTATTCATATATTGTTAGGCATCAGATGCCTTCAAAACTCTGCTCCAGACACTGGCTAGCATTTAGTATGATGGCAGATCTTGTTCCTGACCCCAAAGCTTCATAACCGAAGGAAAACATTGAACTATTATGTCAAAATGGCGAGAGCAAACAAAAGTGGGAGAAGCAAATAATATCGCTGGGGCCTGAAGTGCCGCCAGGACACCAAGCCTTTCATTGGGTTCGTTTTGCATGATGACTCAGCATTCCTACTTCATGTTTTGGAGATGCCCCAACCTCACACCCTGTCTCCAGGTGGTGGCGAACAGAGGCCAGCCCAAGTGCCCTGAGAACGGGGTGTGATTGATTGTGTTCACTTGATTCTGACGTACAGTTGCAGAGTTGGAATTTTGCATTTCACAGACATTGATTTGGACAATTGACATCTCTCTCCTTTTCTCAGATGCCCTCGCTAATATTTCACCTCTCTCATCACCCTGCGCTTCACCTATTCAAGGGACTCCTGCAAGCAGCCCTATTAGCAAAATTTCTGCTGTGCATTTTCCTGAATCTTCAGAAACAACTGCCAAACAAGGCCCAAGTTCGCAAAGGGCCTTATCTTATTACACTCAGAGCGCCCCGGACCTGTCTTCTCAGATCCTGACTCCATCAGCACTATGTCGCAGGTAAGGGTTTTATATCGTTTAATGGCATTTACTATCTTTTTTTTTTCCTGCATTGGGCAACTCACCACGAGTCCACACAGCTCCTGAAGCTTAGCGAAGGAGAAGACAAGAGACACAAGCATGCATCATTTTATTACGCTTCACTTTGTTGTGTTTCACAGCTCGTATACCTTATGCAAATTGAAGGCTTGTGGCAGCCCTACCATTTTCCACAGCATGAGTTCACTTATGTCTCTGTGTGACATTTTGGTCATTCTCACATTATTTCATACTTTCTCACAATGCTAGCACATACCGTATAGACTACCAAACCCAGTGTCTTCAAGTCGGCCGATTCCAATTCACAGTGACCCTGTATAAAGTAAGGTTTCCTGTGCTGTAAATCTTCATGGGAGCAGATAGCCTCTTCTTTCTCCCACAGAGCAGCTTGTGGGATTGAACTGTCAAAGTCGTGAACAGTCCAATACTTACCTGACCATGAATAGACTAAGTTGAGTGTAAATATAATTTTCATGTCACTGGGGAGCCAAAATATGCATGTAACTCACTTCATTGTGATATTTATATTTGCTTTATTTTGAGAGTCTGAAACTTAACCCAAAATATATCTCAGGTATGCATCTGTAGGGCACTGTGTTTTCTGTTGAATAGATATTAATAGGATGTTTTTTCCCCTGTTAGAGAAGGTGTAGAGTCCACAACTCAAACTTTGAAGATCATATAAAATAGTTAATTGTATATTTTGTCTGAGAGCCCTGGTGCTGTAATGGTTACAAGTTAGACTGCGATCCATATGGTCCACAGTTTGAAATCACCAAGGGAAAAAGACGGGGCTTTCTACTCTCTTAAACAGTACAGCCTCAGAAACCCATAGATGGTCGCTATGCGTCAGCACTAACTCGATGACAGAGATTTTAAAAATATTCTGTCTGCTTATTGTCAATGAAAACAATAAAATTGAAAAGTGTACAATTTGGATAAGATTCTATATTTTGACAGAATGATTTTTACTTGTTCCTCAGAGAGTGTTTTATGTTGACCGCAAAGATCCTTTATCTGTTGGCGTTTCCTGTTTAAGCATTTTGGAATTGTACAAACACTACACGGCAGCTTATGACTGGACTCTGATAGTTCTCTGAAGGCAACTAAGCAAAGCCTTGAGTTACCGTATTATGCTGACACAGAATTACGGTGCCGTCTGTTACGATGGACGGAGCACAGTGGCCAACCGTTATAGGAGTATTGGTTGCTCTTCAAGACCAGCTGCATCCGGAATCATTGGCCTTAAGCATTCAATAGATTTTACGTAAGAGAGAGTTGAAATAGTTGAAAACTAAGTTTATGAATGAATGAATAATCATAAAATTGCCCTGAACAAAATGACATTTCTTTTCTAAGTTTAATGAGGATAAGTATTTCATTAAATCGATGGCACAGTGGTCTCCCAATATCAAATATTAGTTCATACCCAGAGAGTTTATTAGCATCTTCAGTTGTAGCATCTGAGATTGAGCCTCGTCAGTGTCATTTTCAGATACTTCTGTAAATTCGGTAAGCTGCTGACAAAATGTTATATATTTTATCATCTTTGCTTCCTTTCGCCTTGCTTTCTACTGGTTTGTTTTGTTTGTTTAGCAGGGGCCAGACTAAAAAAGTTGTCTGCCTTCCAGAAGTTATTCTGTTGCCCTTTCTATGAGCTATTCCATAAAGTAATTTCTGTGGGGCCTTATTAAGCACCTTGCCCCTGACGAGATGTGTGTTCAGTCAGGTTCCCCTGTGAGACTCTCACAGTCCAGGTCACTTTAGAAACTCGGGAGAGGCTTGCTAAAAGGACACCTGTGGATTCATGACATCTGAATCTGTGTCAGGGTTTTCTGAATTCATTTGACCACCGAATCCAATTCTTTAGGTCAACACCCAATAATTGCCCGTGAACCTGGCGTTTGACTGAACACATTTGCCAGCTATGGTTTCATGGTGTTCCTCCTGAGCTAAAATGAAACCCAGCGGAAGAGCTGCATCTGCTTCCAGCTCTTTTAGAGACGTTCAGTGTAGACTTCCAACTTGCAGAAAATAAAGAGCGTAAAGCAAGGAGAATGATGTTCAGAAAATATGTACCATTCACATGGTTTTCCTCAGCCTAGTCTGTTTTTTTCCTCCTGCTTAGCAGGAAGGAGGAATGTAATGAGATTTTTATAAAAGAAGATTTAGTGAAAAACAGGGGAATTTCACTGCCTACTTGTTCGGTACTGTTTATAAATCCAGTAGTGTGTGTTTTATTTGTTTGGGCTTTATAAATCTATAATTCAAACCAGGTTTTATTATTGCTTTCAGGACAGCCACCCATGTAGCCACAGAGAGCTCCAAAAACACACGACTAATTATTGTGGTTTCCCCTGCTGAACTCGATGGGTTTGGCGGTGAATCTTAGTCTCTTGGCTGCTGTAATGTCTACGCAAAAAGCTATTTTTTTGGCCTAAGAGCTAGGATATTTGAACTAACAATTTAAGTGTTCCTTTTAAATATTATCTAGCAATGAAAATCATAAAAGCAATGCAGTCACTTAATTAGAGACCACCAAGTTTAATCCAAAAATGCAAGTCCATCAATTGCATACCCTTATTTTTAAGCAAATAACACACCCCTGTGCAGTTGTTAGTCAGCAGGTCCCTACCCCTAGGTATTTTTGTAAACAGACTCTGATTTTTTTGCTTTTTTTTTTAGCAGCAACATTTAAAAGAAGAAATTAGTGTAGTGGTGCTTATGAAAATACCTCCCAGGGGAAAGTACCATTTGCAAACAAATATAGGCATAGCACAATTTTTGTTGTTTGTCTTGTTTTATCTCTTGACTCCCTAAGTGAAACCAATAAGACTGCATACTTAGAAATGTTTTGTTTGTGATACTGTCCCATTCAAAGCTCAAGCAATAAATTTACTTATTTACACTTCTGCTGGAAAATACTTACCTTTAATTTTCTCCAGTGCACATACAAACACAACAGAGTTCAGGGGTAGGCAAGGGGAAGATAACACATTTAATATATGACAATAAGTGATCACTCTTTGCTTCTCATTTCAGAGTAAGTACACTGTGCTTCAGTAATAAATAAAAACACTCTGAGATCTTTGTAGGATTAGAAAAAACAAACCCAGCAGCCATGATAGTGGGTCAGGACAAAAGTGAAAAGAACTAGAAGAAAGAACTAAGAGGCAAAAGACATTTATAGAGATATAAACATAGACATGCACATATGTAAATATATTGATATATATTGATAGGGATATAGGTTTGTGTACATATTTTATATGTTAAGTTTTAAGGTAGCAGATACGCAGTAGGTCTCTACTTAACCACTCCTGCTGTTCTGAACACAAGAACACTTTGTTCTAATAACCTGGTGTTCTGTAACGCTCACCTTCCCTACACAATCACTGAAGTCAAAATGGGTGCATAAGCAATGTGGTGACAAAAGCTGACAGTGCCTGGCTATTAAAAGACATAGCACCTGGTGTCTTAGAAACTTGAAGTTAAATAAGCGGACATCTGGCAGGGAAGCAACAAAACCCCCTTGGAAGAAGCACACCAGCCTGTGTGATCACGAAGTGTCGATGGAATCATGTATCAGGCATCAGAAGACTCAAAAAACAAACATTTCAATGTGAGGGATCTGAGCGGAGACTCAAAGCCCATCTGTAGACAATTGGACATTCCCCTCACAGAGAGGTCACAAGGAAGGAACGAGTCAGCCAGGTTGCAGCATAGCACTGACAGAACACACAACATTCCTCGCCCTCTCCCCCTACTATCATGACCCCAGTTCTCCCTTACAAATCCAACCAGACCAGAGCATGCACACTGGTCCAGATAAAGTTCTCGACATGGAATCCTGGACAGATAAGCCCCTCAGGAACAGTAACGGGAGTAGTGACACTAGGAGGATGAGGGGAAGAAATGGGGAACTGATCGCAATGGTCGATGTCTTAGCGCACCCCATTTCCCACCAGGGAGACTAACAACAGAAATGTGGGTAAAGGGAGACAGTGGATGGTATAAGATATGAAAATAATAATAATTTATAATGTATCGAGGGTTCACAAGAGCGGAAGGATGGAGGAGGGAGGGAAGAGAGGAGCTGATACCAAGGGCTCAAGTAGAAAGAAAATGTTTTGAAAATGAGGATGGCAGCATATGTAAAAATGTGTGTGATATGATTGATGTCTGGATTGTTATAGGAGGTGCAAGAGCCTCCAATAAAATGAGTTATTAAAAAAAATTGAGCCATGAGATCTCCTAGCAAGATAAATGAGAGAGGAGCCAGTTTAGGACCTTGTCAAATCTTGTATGGGGTTATTTTAAAACAAAATTTGGAAAATAATAAAAACTGTTGAGAAAGCAAAAAGACCCTCCATCCTTCAAACGCTGTGAAATCCTTCATGATTCTTATTGACCTGCTGTATGCCTCCTTGGCCTGTTTTTATTAGTCTGTTTTGTTTCTACCTGGCACCTCATGCTGACAACCTTCATTTTCCAAGTTCTATGAAACACTTCTCAATGGAATAGACTAAACGAAAGTCTTTGTTCATTAGTATCTTTCTGTAGCCTACCTCCCCTGTCCAGGTGCGTGCACCTTTGCACCCCAGAGCTCATGCTGTGCCTTAGCGTCTGTTCAGCCACTGTCGGGATAGGGCGAATAGCCTGTCTTTCCATGCTTATACTTTTTCACCATCTCCATCTCCTCCGCAGCTATGGCAGTGTGTCTTCTTTGCCCTCCATCTCCCTTTGTGATGGGGAGGCTTTGGGGGAAGTGGGCCTCTATACCTCCCTTTGGTATTAAGATTCTGTTCTTTGCCACTTCTTCCCCTTCCCCCGATTTTTTCTAGATGTAAATTATTATTATTATCGGTCTTAGTGGACAAGTATGGGCCTGTGGGTTAATCATTGGGTTGGTCATGGCAGGGCTGCCAGCCATTCCTCAAAAAAAAAAGAGGAAAAAATGAGGCTACTTGTTCCCATAAAGATTTAGCATCTCAGAGAGCCTTATGGGGTCCCCATGACTTGGAATTGACTCAAAAGTAGTGGTTGCCTTCTCTTAAGGTGCACATGCTTGGTAGGTACCTGTGATCATTTTATGAGAATATTTTCACCGTTGAATATGTTCCTCCACTATTCCCAGCTGTGGCAGACCATATTCCCACGGGCATCCTGCTGACGGGCCGCTGGAGAAGGGTAGCGCCGCCATGCGGACACCGAGCAGAACGGGGGGTAAGTCATTCATTTCAGATTCTGGTTGGCAGCACGGAAATTGCCTTACTGATTTTATGTTGTTGCCTTTTTTTATTTGTTCTGATCTAAAAAGTAACATATGTTCCCAGTTTTTAAATTTACAAATTTAAAAAGACAAAGACGAAAACCAACCCGTCCATTTGAGAAAGCAAAAGGTTTCTGAGGACAGGCCACACACAGAATGTAATAGTAAAATAAACAAGCAAAAACGATCAACGGCTGCAGTAACAACAAAAACTAGACTTGATCAAAAGGACAGGGCACAGACACGACAGTTCCTCTTCCCGAGTTCAAATTCTGGCAGCACCATGAATGAGCTGTGTGAGGCCTCCATTTCCTCCCGACAGTCAGGCTAACAATGCAATCATACCTGCCTCGTATACTGAAAGAATTAAACCTGTCGATACAGATGAAGTGCTTTCAGTGGCACTTGACAGTAGGGAGCCAATTGCTCTCCGACTCAATTACGAGATAACTTAATTACAAGAAGCATTTGTAGGCCTTTACCCAGAAGTTTGTTCTTCAGACACTTAGTCCTTCAGGTAGCAGAGTTTGGAGCTGACTGAAAAGGAGACAGAAGAGGAGGATGCACAGGAGGGAGCCGCAGACTGCAAGGGAACCAGATTGGATATACCAAACCTCCCCTAGTCCTAAATACCTGCCATCACTTGATATGCCACAGGCCATGGTATTTCTAGATATGTCAGCTTTATTCCTCCCACGCTGGCACCCATTCTACAGTCAGTGTTGGCATCAGCGAGTTGGTGCGTTTACTGTACTGGGGAAGGGATAGGGGGAAAAGATAGAGAAAATGACTAGATTTATTTTTTAAAGTTTGAACTATGGATCAAAAATTATCAAGGATTATTAAGTTACTGTATAGATCACAAATCATATTAATTCCTATATGTTGTGTGTGTTCAAAATATATATTTTCCCCACTCACATTTTGTGAGTAAGCTCCCAAAGGCAGTGTTTTCCTAAGCTCTGCATCCACAAGATGCAGTTCTGGAAAACTGGCATTAATGAACTGCCTTTCCCTACTGAAGCTGATTGTTTTTTTCAATTGCAGATGACGCAGCTCAAGTTACCTCTGATTATGAAACCAATAACAACAGTGACAGCAGTGATATTGTACAAAACGAAGATGAGACGGGGTGCACGAGAGAACCACTGAGGAAAGGGTCAGCTTGTGGCACCTACACCCCGGAGACCATGCTATTCCTGGTAACCTTGTGCCACTCAACCCCTCCTATGCTTGTGTCACTGGCTTCTACCACAAAGCTAGATGCCGCTGTAGAGTCCTGAATCCTTAGACCTGCAGAGATCCCTCATTGGAAGCATGGGTATTAGAGCCTCACCCTTACACTTATCAGTGTTATCAGCGTACCATTGATCTCTTAGTGGATCTATTACCGAGTGATTAAAAATGTAAATATGAAAATCTCCACCACTGATTTCAGACATGTCGTAGTACAGTAAAAAAGATGGGCACTCCTTAGGTGATTTTATAGAATTTCATTCTGAACAAATGTTAAATATTTTAAATGGTAGGATAATTATAGGTATAAATAAGAGAAATATATGTATTAGTTGTCTTGGCATTTTTCCTGCAGGTTTTCCTCTAGTACCTTATTGATTGATAGGGTAGCCTAATATTAATTTCTTTGTTATGTTAGACTAAGTTTATAGTGATACTTGCTGCCTGTTACAAACCCGTAGTCTTATTCCTGACACTCCTCTGTCAGGTTGTCAGAACCTAGTAGTGGAGTTGTGATGCTGGAAGCTATGGCATACGTGTTTTAAATATTCAAGATTGAGGGCAAGCTTAATTAACAGCCTGTCATATGCAGAGAACCTACATTTGCTAACAAAACACAGGGAGGACTTGCAGGGCTTGCTGATAAAATCCAGGACTGTAGCCTCCAGAACGGATTGCTTCACTCAACGTAAAGCTGACGTGGAGTTCTTGACTCAGTATAATAAAGAAAACCAAATCTTCACAACTGGGCCAAAGCACGATATAACGATAAACAGAGAAGCGATTGAAGATGCCAGGACTTTGTTTTACATAGAGACACAATCGATGCTCATGGAAGCAGCTGCACAAGATCTCTTTAAAGTGTCAAAGAGCAAGGATGTCACTTGCAGGACTAAGGTGTGCCTGAGCCAAGCCGTAGTGAAGGTTGGACATTGTGTAAGGAAGACCACTGAAGAATTGATACATACGTGTTATGGTAACATGAATATGAATGATGGCAAAGAATATTGAAAGTACCTTGGACTTCTGCTTGGAAAAAGTACAGCCAGAATGCTCCTTAGACATGCGCATGTACTTTGGGAATGTTATCCGGAGAAATCAGTCCCCAGAGAAGGGCATCCTGCTTAGTAACGTAGAGGGGTGGTGAAAAAGAGGAAGCCGGTCAAGGAGAGGGTTTGACATGGCGACTGCCTCAGTGGACTCAAATATAAGAGTTGTGAGAAGAGCTCAACTAGGGAAGTTTCATTCTGTGACACTTGGGGACCCTGATGCGGAATCTACGCAGCAGCACCTAGCGACCACCAGCAGCCGCCGCAGCTGTGACTTCTTTTGTGTGTGACGGGTTCGCTGAAAGAGGATGAAAGTGGACACTTGGGCTAATTTGGCGGAGACAAAAATTGCTGGAAATAGTTTACCACGATGTGATTATCCGTTGATGCTATTGTTTTTTTTTCTTTTACTTCATTTACTACTTTTAAATCAAATATATTGCTATCAGACAAACTTATTTTAATTAACAAATTTTATCTTCTGTCTCCTTCTTTTGAAAATCCAGTGTCACAAATGTTCTCATTTGGGACTCCTTTTAAAATATAACTTACATGGCGCATGTTTCTCATGAAGTGGTAGAGCATGTGGATTATTTTTTAGGTCCTTGAAAAATGTAGCCATTGTCATTCTACAGAATTAATGCTAATTTTGAAGCATTGATATAAATTTGACTGATTAGGATCGAAGTGATGAACTCTGTCTCCCTACTTTTGGGTTTCCCTTGAAAGACCAGTATAACTATGCAACCTTGGTCTATACAAATTTATATAAATCTATAAAGTGATCTATTTATATATAATTGCAGAGTTCTTCAAAGTCCTTATATGAATTTTTCTTTAAGAACCCTGTACTAAATTTTGGAGCAACTCCAAATGAACTGTGTATAGTTGAGTATGTCTGTATACAAACATAGACGTGTCTATCCGTGGCCAGCTTATGATTCCAGCTACTAGACAGTAGAAGCCACATTGCTGTCATCTTCCAAGACGCAGATGGCCACATACTGCTCACATGAACGGCTGGTGGGTTCAAACCGCTGACCCTTCAGTGAGTTGCCAAGCCCTTTAGCCCCTGCACCACCAGGAATCCATGTGTAGGTATGTAGGTATACAAGTATGTGTGTACATATGTATATACACATAGATGGACTGTATATTCAGGTATGTTGTGCATACATTTTTATAAAACACATAGGGGACATAGTTATGGATACTTTTTTAAAATTTGAGTATAAATTAAAACAAATATTTTATTATTAAAGTGTTTTATATCATTAAGAGAAAATTTTATTTTTGCCTCTGCAAAAATATTATATATGATTTATATAGTAATTTATATTTTAATTTACATTACATGTCATATAAATGTATATTTATATTATAATTTCCCTCACCACTCTTGCTCCTCAGTAACCATCAAAGTCTGTTTCTTTTGGGATGAAAACCTTTTTTCCCCCTGATATTCTTCTTTTATACCAGTGGTCTCATAGAGCATTTGTATCCCTCTTAGATACAGCCATGCACTTTTCAAAACTGGTTGCCTGAGGCGAAGACTTGGGACCATCGTTCAAGGGACAGCTAATTCACTTGGCACAATATACTTCATAAGGTTTACGTTCTATATCCTAGTTTGGCAAAGAGTATATGGATCTTAGGAGCTTGAGAGCAGCCATCTAAGATAGAACTACTGGTCTCTACTTGTCCAGAAAATAAATAATGATAAAGAAGAAAAGCAAATACTTATATAAAGAAAACAAAACTAGTCTATAAGGCTAGCAGACTCCACATACCACACCCCGTCTACCTTAAGACCAAAAGAACTAGATAGGGCCTGACTATCAGGACTGACTACTTTGATCAGAATGCAATGGATGGATTCTGATGGAAATGGAAGAAAACATAGAACAGAGCTCAAAATCTTAATAAAAAAAATTTAATTCCAGACTGCTATCCTGAGATATCCTTGGACCCAGACTGTCCCCTGGGGTTACTTTGGAGTTAGAATGACTCAGACTCATACAATGAAGAACAGAACCGTGTGCAGAAAAAGCAGATCCCTATGTGCGGCTGAATCACAGCGGCCTTAACTTTGGGAATAAAAATCCCAAATTGCTGTAGTTTGTATGAACCAGCGATAAGTGAGCACCAAACAATGCCAAGTTCATGGTCCAAACAATCTTTTTCTCGTACTTTTGGCATCATGTCTTATTCATTTTGATTTTTTTTTTTCAGAGAACTCATTCGTATGAAGTCTTAAGACGTTTATTTCTGGAAACCTCCATTGTTAAATGAGAATTACCAATGCTCTAATGGTTTTTTATCATTTCTTCTTTACTCTTCCTTATAGGACAAGCCGATTCTTGCTCCAGAACCTCTTGTTATGGATAACCTGGACTCAATCATGGATCAACTAAATACTTGGAATTTTCCGATTTTTGATTTGATGGAAAAGATAGGAAAGAAATGTGGCTGTATTCTTAGTCAGGTATGAAATATGCATTCATACTTATGATTGCTGAATAAATAATTACTTGGTTGCTCAGAGCTTTGTGGATGGATGGTATCTGAAGAAAATAAATCCTATCCCACAACTATCTAGGTTCTTTGATGGAGAGATTAACTAAAAAATCATAACTTTCAAGTAAATTGAACAGCATATATTTGTCATTTAAAATATTATGGATACTTTAAGGGGATAGATGGATATGTAAGCGTGCTTGTCAAAAAATCTAAAATTCATAGAATTCATCAAAAGAGAATTTTGCTAGCACAATCCTCAAAATGTGCTATATAAACACTAACTTACTGCCTATAATTTTTCTAATGACTTTTATTTTTATATTTGAATATTACAGTGCTTAGGTCTTAGAAATAAATAATATATTGCATGGAAATATGTTTTGCCCATGAGATATGAGAAAAATACCGTGTATCTTTTCCTGTATTTCAATATGGAAAATATCTTTACTCATCACAGAAGTATAGAGCAGAACTGTGGCTGTGTGATAAGCCTTTAGTGTGTTTCTTTTTCAAGCGAGAGCCTGTTCAAGGCTTCCGAGATAGACTGGTTTGTGTATACAAGTAGGCCCATGTCCTACTCTTCAGATAGATGATAAGCTCACTGAGTTTCAGGACTGCAGGGAGTAGTTATTCCCACTTACATATGCTATAGTGGTGGACATGGTAGATGAGGCGCACATTTTTTATTCTTCTTTTTATTTTTACGTATCCCCCCCCCCCCCACTGAGGGTATTTGGTAAGGCCTTGACTTTCTCTTTTACAGGTGTCATACAGGCTTTTTGAAGACATGGGTCTCTTTGAGGCTTTTAAAATTCCAATTAGGGAATTTATGAATTACTTTCATGCTTTGGAGATTGGATACAGGGATATTCCTTGTAAGTATAAGTTGCTCGTGAAAGAGGATTTTGGGGGTGTTTTTGTTTGTTTCAGTTTTTAATCTATTGAATTTGCTAGTGCCACTGGATCTCTGTAGTGTGGGTGGCTAGCACACACTTCTACACGGTAGACACGGAACATGCTCACAGGGTGTAGTGGTGAGGATTTATGGCCTACATTAGGTTTGTGGGCCATTGTCTTACCTGCTGTGTCACCTGGCCTTGTGGCTTTCTTCACCTCTCCATGTCTCCTTTCTTTACCTGTTAAATGTGATCCTCCTAATTGTAAGTTGTGAGAATCAGATGAGGTAATACTTTTAAATGGGCTATAATAGGGCCTTGTACATAACAAGTGCCTTTTAAGTGTTTGATAAATAAATAATCAGATTTTATTTTGGCATCTGAGAAGGTACCCAGCTAAGTCACTCAATATTGAAGTGTCCTTGATATCAGACAAAATTCATTATTAAAGGGTTTATGAAGGAAGTTAAGAAGTTGTAATGTCAGTGAGAAATTCTCAGGAAGAAATATTGAGTTATGTATCAAAACATATGAACTTTGTAACCAAAGTTCTGGTCAAGTCTGCTAATAAATGCCCGAAAGGCACACCAGAGGCATCCCGCTTCAGTAGGCCTAGCCTTAAGGCACTCAGCGCCACTTCTGGGGGGCTACAATTCCATGGGTCAGCAAGTCCAGCTTCCTCAATTAAATGTCCAGATGCACCCCTCTCCGTGAGTCAGTCTCCTGTGCAAAAGCACCCAGCTTCACTTGCTGCGTGGGTTGGGAATTCCATCACTCTGTTGTATGCTTCAAATCCTGGTGCTGCTGCTGCTCCCCTGATGGTATAGCAGTCTTCTGGACCCAGCAGCTTCACTGTAGAGGAATCTCAGGCCCAGAGGACCTGCTCCACTGCTGGCCCTTCCTGGTAATGAGTTACCACTTTCTGCTTCTCAGAGGGCTCATTCGATACACAGCAGGATGGCACTCCAGGAAATCCTATCTGAAATTACTCAAAGGTGAATCCTATCAGTATCTTTACCATCTTCTTACCAGACCCTTGCAGGGAAAGGTTAGTTGTTGGAAATTAGAGACTTTTGCTAGAAGCATCACATTAAATAATTCACTGCCCCTGTAGCTGGTCTGCTTTGTAAGCTGATTTTTTAAAAAGAGTTTTCAATAAGTGATTTTGGACACATAAATAATTGGAGAGATTTTAAAATAGGTAACCATGAAGACCCAAAGAGAGAACATAATCAAAGGCGAAGACCCCAAAACAGAACGACATTTAGAGCATTGTGAACAGAGGTTTGGCATTTAGAGCATTGCGAATAGAGGTTTGCCATATCTAATAATGAGAAATTTGAACACCAAAATCAACTGCCCTCCAGTCATGTCGGACTGATAGTGACCCCATGGAGGGTCTTTACAGGAACAAACTCACCTTCTTCCCTCAGAGCATCTAATGGGTCTGAACTTCCACCTTTGCAGAAAACAACCCATCACTTTAATGCACAGGCCTATGAGGGTTCCTTTCGAATACTGATGTATAAAAGTAGTTTTCAATATGTAGTATCCCTAGAATTAACACATAAGCAGATTTGTCCTACATGCTATAAAAATGTATAGAACTTTAGAAAATACTTTTAAGTCAAACTAGGAATGTTATCGAAATGTATATAAATATGGTACTTCAAGAGAATAGATGTAATGCATGAAGCAGTCATAAGAGAACATTGTAGCGTGTTACTTAGAAATATAGAAAAATGAGAGAATATAAAGTTAAAATTTTATATCATTCTAATTATCGGCTGACTAAATGAATGACTACTTCCCTTAAATCTGTTTCATTTGAGTCAACCATTTCCTGCAATAAGATATTAATTTTAAGACCTTAATTTTTTTCATTTAAAAAGAAAAACACCTTCCCAAACTTAAAAGTATTCTAAGTCACCGCGGCAACAAATGTTTTGCCTCTTCTCATACTGAACATTTTTTACCTTTGAAGTTTTTAAATTGCTTTTATGCACGTTGGAATTCATATCCTTACCTCTTTTTGTAGACGCAAGTGCTGAAGTTAAAAATTGTATGTATGCAGATAAGACAAAAGGTTTTCCAGGAAAGAGTAGCATATTAACCTAGGGATTCATCATTAACATGCTCTTTTTCAAACTGCCATCGACACGCTACATAGGAATGGGTATATAAGAAAGAACAATTAAGAATTGACTCTACTGCTGAGATCTGTTGAACAGCTGGATAGAAGGAATTGGAGCTTACGGGCACTTAGGCCCTTGGAAAAGTCAAGCTGATGGGGCCATGGATTTGGAAGAGAAATATGGAAAGGAAATATCTTGAAAGGACCTCAAGATAAGCCTCGCTTTATTGATACCATTCTCCCAGGGCCCTCCCTGGTTGAATGCCAGTGATTGACATCTTTGTGAGTGATTTTTCAGACGTTAAAGAGTTATACATAAATAAGCTTTTTATAGAAAAGAAGCCACTGAAAATGCTTAAGAACAGCTAGTCATCAGACTTCATTTCCAAATGAATGTTAAATTTCCAAATGTATAGGCAACCATTTATTCGTAGCTGAATTCCATTTACATTGATAGACACCTTAGCTATCTATTAACATTTAATGTCTATTAGCTTTGCTTCAAGTTACATATCATTAAATAATGGGAAAAGTGGCCAGTATTTAAGTGTAAATGGAAGTTTCTAAATTTTATTACTCTATTTTACATTTTCTTATTACATTTTTACATAAGGGAATAGGTGTTTTTCCTAAAACATTCACATTCCATGCTAAACTAATTGACATAGTAAAAATTCATGTTTTATTAGCTATTGTAGACTCTTTCTCTAAGGGAGTTTACTTACATTATTTGCACAGAAAAGCTTTCGTTTGCTGATTATTTAAAATATCTGTGTGTGCTGAGGTTCTAAATTTAGCCTAAATTATATTTTAAAACATTTTATATAATTAATTACAGAAAGTATGTACAAAATTGGTTGTCTAGTTATTCTAATGTTTTCTCATAATTATATTTCTAATAGCTCCATCTGAAATTAAAGTCTATATTAATAAAAAAAGGGTCTAATGATTAAGGAACGTGAAGATGGGGTTAGATTAATATGAAGATGAGCTAAAATATTAGAAATTAAATTTTTATCAGCATTGTAGTTAAGTCTTTAACAATTAGAGAAGAGAGAAAGTGGGACAGCTTTTAAATTTGTAACTGGAAAGTAGAAACTGTGTACGACAGAAACCTGTCTGGAAAAGAAAACCCAGGAGTCGCCCACTGAAAGGAGTGATCAGAAAGTCGTAAGACTTGCCCTTGGCAAAGGGAATGGGACCAGACCCAGAACACAAGGTGGGCCTTGCGGACTGTCTCTCACGGGCTTCGCTGCAAACGCACTTCAAGGAGTCGCATTAGGTAGCGTCGTCAACTCAGCTCACTCACGGGTAGACATGTGTTACAAACCTATTTGTTCAATAAGTATTAGGACAAATCAGATATAGTTGGTGCTGAACTATGTTGGGAGATATCCATGCTTTGTACATATTATTTATAGTCCCTTTCAAGAATGAAGGCATTAGTTAATTCATAGACTCACAGTTGGTTTTGAGAGTGCTTTTTACCCTCCTATTTTAAAAGACATATCTATATCTAACTAGATTCTTCTTACCACCTGTCATGCCCAGTTTTCAAGTTTGAGAGATGAGGAAGCTGTCTCATAGCTTGCTGGGATTAGGTAGCTATTTAATGGCAGAGATGGGACTAATTTTGCTCAGTTTATGTTCATTACGGTTCAGTGAAGCAACATAAGGTGTACATTGATTTTTTTAAAGCTACATGATCAAGTAACACTGTGCAAATGAGAGGAGTAGCAAGATTATAATATATACTGCCTATATTTTAAAGAAACAAATTTAAAAGATGAAGGTAATGCTTCTATTTGCTAGTACTTTCCCTCACCATATGTGGTACATTTCAGCTTAGGCAGAGTTTTGAACTGAAAAATCTGTAAATTTGGGTCTAGAAGGCTATAAAATTTACATACAACTCCCACCCTCCATAGCAGCCCCCTTCATCTCTGTCCTTGAGGGCTAAGGAGAAAGTTGAGAAAACAAGTGTATCGAGAGAGAAGAGGGAGATGGGCAGACTGAGAAAGAGGTAGGGCGTGTGGTGTGTTGGTGTGTGCACGCGTGTTTCTGTGTTGTCAAGAGGGAGAGGGTGTGGCCAGGTGGGCATGAGACTGGAAAAGAAGGTTGTTTAGAAGGCAGAGATAAAGGAAGGGTGATGAGTTTGAGGATAAGCATAGAAGAACTCTGAGAGCACCCTCGATCCCTCTCAGTTGTCCACCATAGAGAGCGAGAAAAGTTATGTTTTGTGGAGTACCCATGTGTGTTCTATAGAAGCCTGTGGCTTCTATATAACTATCATATAGAGTGGACACTGAACTATATTGGGTTACCAGAGGGTTACTGAAAAAAGCAACAAAGATAATAGCATTGGGCACAATAGTTGCACATCAAACCAAAACCCATGGTATTTGAGTCTGTTCCAGCTCATAGGAACCCCAATAGGGCAGAGGAAAAACTGCCCGCAGAAGCATGCTCCCACCTCTTTCTCCCACCGAGCAGGGAATGGGTTTGAACCTCTGGCCTTTTGCTTAGAAGCTCAGTGCTTTACGCACTGTGCCACTGGGGAACCTTTACTAGGTAAAGGTCTGTTTCGTCAACATGCTATTGATTGCTTCTGCATAAGTGGCAGGTGATGATGTAATCCTTCGTCGCGTAGATTTACACAAACAGATTTGATTGGCTATTGTTTCACCTTGAACCTCTCCTCATAAACCAAAAACACCCTCACTGCCATCAATTCAGTGTCCGTTCTGGCTCACGGCAACCGTGCAGCACAGGGTCAAAGTGCCCCTGTGGGCTTGGGAGGCTGTGTCTTGACGGGAGTGGAATGCCTCGCCCCTATGCCTTGGTGTGGCTCATAATTGTGAGCTGCTGACCTTGTGGTTCACTGCCTAACACACCCACTGCACCACCTAGACCCCTAGCATAAGCCAAAAACAAAACCAAACACTATATAATTTAAAGAAATACCACGTCGGTCTTACGGTTAAAGCAGATTCTACTGTTGTTGTTTCTCACTGTTGTGTGTAGATTCTAACCCAGGGCAGCCCCTGTGTGCAGTGTCAGGTGTTGCAGGCGGTGACCGCTCAGAAGGCTCTCCCTCAGCCTGTTGTCTGAAGAGCCTCTGGATCCATTGCAGCCACCAACCTTTTGTCAACTCTCTGTCAAGTTCACCTTCTGAAATGAATTTGGAAGCAGTTACTTCTTTTTTTATTTTCTGAACTAACTTATTTCGATGGGATTATTTGTGCCTTCAAAGATTGTAAAAATTACCAATAAGGTCCCCCGAGCTGTGAGGGTGAGAGCCGGGACATGGAGCAGCGTGGCTCCGACCTCCCAGTTTGCCTGTCTTTGTTTCTGTCTGTCCACACCCAGGACCGAGCTCCCCTATGCCCACCCACCCTTTGTAAGGCTGAGCTCATATTCGGGTTTCTCTGACTTGCTGGATAAGAGTAATTACCCATGCAGTAGTATTCTTGACGTGCAGGGAGGAAAAGGACAAGATCTTGACAAACAGGCTCCCCCCAGCAGTGCGAACGCTATGCCTGGTCCCCCATTTTTCTCTGATGACGGCCCATCGCTGTCCTTTGCTTCCCCAAGGACTTAAAGAGCTCTCCTTTCACCGCTTGATTCCTGTCACTGCAGATGATTCGGGAGAGAGCTGGTAATCACCATCTTGTTCTGCAGCAGCAATTTATTTTATATGAATAAGTTCCATCAACAATTGTAAACCTACTCTGTGTCCGACACTTTAAAAGGTGTTTCTGTCTATGCCCTCTTGACAGTTATGTAAAGTAAGTGCTGATATTATCTCCACATTTCTATGAGAAGGAACTGAAACTTAAAGCTTTAAGCAGCTCCCTGGAGTCAAGCAGAGACAAAGACAGCTCTGTCCCATGTCCAGAAAATACTAGCACACTCAACTTAAAATTTAATTGTTAAAATTGAAATTTTCTGAGCTAGTCTATACTTTGGACTATAAACTCCCAATTGTAATAAAAATTGCTCTTTGAAGTACACTATGATCGTATTAATCTCTAGCAAACATACAGCAGCACAGGTTTTGATATTTCTTCCTTTGGAAACTAGTTTTGTTTCTCAACCTGAGATCTCTTGAACTCGCAGCTGGGCCCCTTGGCTGAGTGCCTGTGAGGTTGGCCTAAGTTCATTGCTTGGCCTCACTTGAAGACTGCTCTAAGAGTTTCCAGAAATGTAGGAAAAGAAGTTCTATTGACACCCATCTACCTAAATGCCACCAACTCCACAGATATTTTAACTTTCTTCTATCTTGCCTGGCAAGAGTCAGGAAAGGTGTTTCTTCCATACCTCCATGGTTATTTTTCATGTCTCTTCTGTTTCTCTCCTCTCATTTCTTGAGTATTATTTAGAAAACGAATATATTAGAGAAGGAAACTCCATTTTGAGTGGCTAGTAGAAATAAAACCTATAAAGTTAGAACATGTAAGATACAGCACATCAGTCAATAAAGTTTAGTGGAGGGTCAGAAAAACCGGAATAATTGCACTAGGAAAAGGAGGTGAGCCAAGAGCAGCACACTGGAAGTTCGGTCATGGTGCAATAGCATTGCTCACTGCTGTCAAGGTGATTCTGGCTCGTAGTGTCCCTACCTAGGGTTTCCGATGATGTAAATCGTCATGGGAGCATTTTGTGGATTTGAACACTGACCTTTAGATTCTCAGTACGGTGCTTACCTAAGAGCACAACCAAGCCTCCTTTTAATGATACTTTAACTGGAAAATTTATTTACCTATGTACTCGAGTATAAGCCGACCCAAATATCAGCTAAGGCACCTAATATTACCACAAAAACTTCATTAAAAGTGTGCTGAAAACTTGGGTTAGATACGAGTATATACGGTATTTCCGTAACTTTTACTTTTCTAATTGTATCAACTTCCTACATTATGATTCAAAGAAAATTTCTCTTTAGACCTATCCTCGATTTAGAATTTCTAGATCAGGGAGTGTATATATATATATATGTTTTCAAGTTTGCTTTGTGGGATGGATATATATATATATATATATATATATATATATGCAGTATTCTTTTTTGTTTCAGTGGTTTAAGTTTGGTATCCAAGAATAGCATAATATTCTATTGATAGATTCTGTTTGGGTACCATTTATAAGATATGGCATAGTGGATACTATGGGCCATTGGTCTAACTTAAAGAATATCATTGGTCTTTCTTAAATTCTGGTCCTGGACATCGTGTTTTGCAGTAGCATGGAAACAATTATAGAGTAAACATTGCAGTCATATCACATAGTGAGTTCACTATGGACACACATTTCCAGTAGACTGTGTACACAGATATTTCCACTTCTGGCATCTGCATGCATAATGAATGTTTTGAGTGCTGTTGTTGTTTTTCTTGTAACTACGCATGTTATGGTGTTGTGGAAGAGTAATCAAAGAGTATTTGTCCTAGAAAGTCCAGTTGGCTTTCAGTGGGGTATTAAAATGCTAGGACTAAATTGTTTATCCAGTAGGTGGCACTCTTAGTCCTTGGACCCCACAGTTCACAGTGGAATGACTTACTCCTTTGCATTGGTTACAGATCATAACAGAATCCATGCCACGGATGTCTTACATGCTGTTTGGTATCTTACCACGCAACCTATTCCAGGACTCTCAACTGTGATTAATGATCACGGGTCAGCAAGTGATTCAGGTATTTTCTAAAGGACATTCACGTTCCCTTGGGAAAGCTAGAGGAAGCGAAAGAGTATGTGGACTTTTCTTTATTTTTAAGAACACCAAAGGTACTAACAACTTCTATTGCTTCTGTTTTCTCAGATTCTGACAGTGGATGTACACATGGACATATGGGATATGTTTTCTCAAAAATGTACAGTGTGCCAGACGATAAATATGGATGCCTCTCTGGGAATATCCCTGCCCTGGAGTTGATGGCACTGTACGTGGCTGCAGCCATGCACGATTACGACCACCCAGGAAGGACGAATGCCTTTCTGGTGGCAACTAGTGCTCCTCAGGTAAGGTCTTTGCATTCTGATGAGAAGGAAATTAATCCAAGGCAGACGTTTCTCCAAAGAAAATTAATTTTATAAATTTGACTTGTAATAAACACCAAGTAAATATAAGCCAAGTTATATCTCAAACCAAACCAAACTCACTGCCATTGAGTCAACTCTGACTCACAGCGACCCCATAGGACAGGGAAGAACTGGCCCTGTGGGTCTCCCCAACTCTAACTGTTTATAGGAGTAGAAAACCCAGTCTTTCTCCAGAGATGCCGCTAGTGGCTTTGTGACTACGGACCTGGTTGGTCACAGCCCAACATGTAACCACTATGCCGCAAGGTCTCCTAAACTATATTTAGTCATCGGTGAAAAAAATTCAGAGACTTTGCTAATTCTAAAAATATGTCATGGTTCTAAGATTAATAATTGGTATGTAACTTTATTATCTATGGGGATTTTTTTTCAGTTTTATTCTTAAGAAGGAAAACTACTTGTATGAATGAGCCTCCTGAAGAAAGAAAACCCAACCTCTACAAAGTCCCTTTCTGAAAAGACTGGAGACTGCATCTCTCTTAGACTTTGAAGAAATACTGGAAGCCCTCGTGATATATAAATCCCATTCCTTCAGAATATGTTTGTTATCATTATGCTTCTTATGGCTTATTAGTTGGTTAATGGAAGTTAAAAATCTATTCACTTCACTTATTGAAGGCACTTAAATATTTTTAACCTGGAGGTAGCCCCCTCACACACACAAAAAATAGTGAATAACTTTTAAAAAGTTCATTTTGATGTATATTTAGTCTAAGGCAAAACGAAATCAGTGATCTCTTAGCCCTGATGGGCTAGTGGTGGCCTGCGAACCACAAGGACCACAGTTCAGTCACATCAGTCACTCCACATGAGAAAGATGAGGCTCTCTGCTTGCAGAAAAGTCTACAGTCCGATAAACCCTGCGTAGGGTCGCTGGGCATCGGAATCTATTCGAGAGCAGCAGGTTTGTCAGTGTGGCGTTTATACAATCAAACTCAACCACCTCCTTCTTCCTTTGCCTGCATACATGTTAATGAATGCCCCCAGATTTTCTGATCTATTTTCTAGAGAAGTTGAAGCTAGCCTGGTACTACATTTACCTTTTTTTTCTTCTTTGCCGTTTTTCTCCTTCCCTACTACCATTCTTCCCCATAGCCCGTGTTATAGACTAGCACAGAATGTTTCTCAAATCATTGTCTTACAATTGCTCTGATAGATACACATGTCTGCTACTAACTTTACCTTCTTTCATCGTGCCCTTTTCTTTTTGCTAAAGATAACCAGGCAAATCCTTTTGCAGCACCATTTTCCAATACCCTATGCATTTTTATTTACCCCAATATTAATTTCCATGTGCTTAATCTTTCCTTGTTCTTATGCCTTTCCCCCCACCCCCCATAGCCTATCTTTCACATTCATCTTCAAGCTTCTGATAAGTGATTTCCTCTTCCCATGAGGCATCCATCAGAGAGTTCCACATATACAGACACTCACTCTATATTCTCAATGATTGAAGACAGGGTAACATTACTTATGGCTGATTGTGGGTGAGAGTATTAATTGTGGGTTTATTCAGGAGTCCATTCATACTTATTAGCTAAATACTCATGTATGTAAGTAAGGTAATTCTCATGCCATAAGCAGAATATAACTGCATCTCCTCGAAACTGTTATATATATATATATATATATGTATATATATTTAAGAAATATATATATTTCTTAAAATGCTTAAATTACTGTGTCCTACAAAGAAATCTGAAAAACTAACTCTTTTATGATAGGCTTATAGTCCTCACTTGCAAGAATTTAGAATATTGTTTCAAGGAAAGGAAATTATATCTTTTAAGAAAATGAAACTAGAAGAAAAATGACTTTCTTTTAGGGACATGTGCAGCAATAAGTGAATCTTAAATAACTAGGAGTCGCAAGATTACCTTTGCAAGTTTCATAAGAAATAACAAGATCAAAAAGCATTGCAAACTCTCGTATATATATTTATATAATTTACTTTAAAATTGAACTTATAACTCTCTTGCATATTTGTCTAGGCAGTGCTATATAACGATCGTTCAGTTTTGGAGAACCATCACGCAGCTGCTGCATGGAACCTTTTCATGTCCCGGCCAGAATATAACTTCTTAGTTCACCTGGACCATGTGGAATTCAAGCATTTCCGTTTCCTTGTCATTGAAGCAATTTTGGCCACTGACCTGAAGAAACACTTTGACTTCGTAGCCAAATTGAATGCCAAGGTAAGCAGGCTGGTACCAGTCTTCGTTTTATGGCCACAATTGGGAAATGTCAAAAAACAAAAGTCTTGAACAGAACGCATTGATGTTGACTGTTGGGTGTCAAATGTGAACATGCGATGTTTAGTCAGAAGCAGATGCAAAGCCATGGGCCCCAGTCTGGAAATCTTAGACGCTGTAATGCTAACTGTGTACAATTTGCTTTGTGCTACAGAGGAGGAGGAGGAAACATCTAACTCTAGCTTTGGTATTTTTCATTTTGTTTAATTTTCTTTCATCCCTTATAATCTACTGACATAAGTTTCTGGTCGTAGCACAAGTCAAAAAAGTGAAACAAACTTGCATGCATTAAATATAAATGCCCTAAATCTTAATTTAATAAAAGATTGTTTGTGACTATATTACTTTGATGTTAATTGATGGCATATGCCAATCTTAACAGAATTTATTGGCCAAGTTTTTATTAGTAATTAAATATTTTATCCATTATTCATTGTTCTCCCTTTTGGTATACCATTTTATTATTCATGCATACCATTAACAATATTTTAAATATGGGTAAATTCCACAATACCTAATATTTTGATCTCTAAATGGTTGGAAGATGAAGAACATTTTATTTTTTTCTCTCCAGCAAACATTTTCTGTCCCTGAGGCAAAACACATTTTAACTTTGCCCTCCCATAGGTCAATGATGAGGTTGGAATCGATTGGACCAATGAAAATGATCGTCTGCTGGTTTGTCAGATGTGCATAAAGTTGGCTGACATCAATGGACCGGCTAAGTGTAAGGAGCTCCACCTTCAGTGGACAGAGGGGATTGTCAATGAATTTTATGAACAGGTAAATCACTTTTCAATAGATAGCTATTCTATTTGTGAACTCATGAAAACTTTCAAGGGCTATAAAGTGCTCATTTTATTTCATAAACATACTTAAGTCAGAAAATATTCTATCAAATTTCTATCAGAGGATAGAAAATGACAGATATCAAAATTTGGATTAAACTCTAACCATAAAACTCTAAAATCACGTTTATCTGCAACCATCGGCAAAGTGGAAGATATTGAGATAGTGAATCACTTCATGAAATATTAGTACCAGCAGACTTCAAAAAGTTCATTGAAGAGTGGAATTGAAAGATAATACAACTTCTTGAAGCTATTTATTATAATGTTATTAAGAATTACTTATGATGCTGAAAACTGGTGCTCACTTACATGGAGGAATACCTTTATCTAATTGAGATAATTTTCTTTTCTGATAAAGTTATAACAGCAATAAATAATAGATTAAAAATGGGGGAATTTTATTTGACATGATAATATAAAAATAAACACATTACCAAAAAATCTAACACAAAACATAAGTACATACATAACCCTACACTGATCAGATTATCCTTGAAGCATTGTGCTCAGCTCTGTGAATGCATAAGAAGGATGGTTGGTACAGGAACGTGGGCAAAGGACAAGCATTCCTGACACAAATGTACATGACGGAAGTGAAGATATTTGAACTGCCAGAAAATGGAGGTGAAATAATAACTGTCTCCCAATGCTTAAAGGATTTACATACAAACTTAAGATTAAGTTTATCATTGCATAGGTAGAGATTATAAAAAGATGAGTTATATACTTAACACAAGGTCTAATTTATAAGAAATGTTCTTTCCCTCTTTACTTATCTAAAAAGGGTATGAATATGAGTATTCCATCGAAATTAGCAATTCAACTCTACCCACTGCCTTGAAGTTGATTCCAACACATAGTGATCCGATAGGGCAGGATGCAACTGCCCCTGTGGGTTTCTGAGACTGTAGCTCTTTATGGGAGTGGAAAGCCTTATCTTTTTCCTAAGGAGCCACTAGGGGTTTCAAACTGCTGACTTTGTGGTTTGCAGCCCAATATGTAACATGATGCCACCAGGGCTACTTTGAAAGGTTATGGGGAGTTAAATTTAAAGTCAGCCAGAAATGAATGTGTATTACTAGAAAACAAACTCACTATCATCGAGGCAAATCTGACCTATGGCGACTCTATGGGACAGAGTAGAACTGCCCCTGTCAGTTTCTAAGACTATAACTCTTTATGAGAGTAGAAATACTCATCTTTTTCCAGAGAACCTACTGGTGGTTTTGAACTGCTGACCTTGAGGTTAGCAGCTCAATGCATAACCACTGTGGGACCAGGACTCCGTGTATTTACTAAAGGCATCCAAAAGTAGCATGAGATAGCTTTGTGATATAGTAAATTGCCTATCCCTGGACATAATTTAGAAAGAGATGACAGAGGCTTTTGTGGGAGATAAGACTCCGATATAAACAAACCAGCCTGTGTGAGCCAAGGATTGTAAATAATAAAATTCACATCTAAAGAAGGGCATGTCATCAGAGCTTGAACTGTGACCCTCTGGTTTTCAGAAGTATGTGGATAACAGTGGAAGCCCCACATCCATGGTCAGGGTCTACACATGGACTTAACCTCCGGTGAATCACCCTCGATCACAGTTCAAGGATGTGGATAGTCCTGTTTTCAGACAGAGAGTATTATAAAGTTGATTATGGCAGATGTCATTAGATCAAAATGTAATATCTTATCATTTGATATCCATTTTGACTCATTTTAAAGCTGTATCAGTTAAAAGAAGAAGAAGAAGAGTACAGAGGGAAATACATGTGGATTAAGCCTCTGGTGAAACCACTCTGCTCGTGGACCAGGGATGTAAACAGCCTTGATAACTTGCAGAATGCATTGCAAAGTGGATTGTTGCATATTAGCACCCTTACTTAATCTTCCTTATAATCCATTTAAATGTGTTCTAATTTTTGATAGTTTGTTTCTTTTCTATTGAAGCTTGTATTTGTTTTACTTTATTATTCTTGTTAGCTTTTGTCTGTATTTCAGTGTTTTGTGTATATAAAATTCAGAGAGACAATAACTGTAGTAATGGTTCCATGGGGGGTCCCAGGGGCGGTAGGGGGGCAGGGCGAATGAGGAACTAATAAAGATGAATACAAGAATGGGGAAAATGTTCTAAAACTGATTGTGGTGATTATGGTATAAATCTTCTTGATGTGATTGAACTATTGAATTGTGTCCTATATGAATTGTATGCCATAAAAGTGAGAAAAATAATAAAAAAGAAAACAACAGCAACAAAGACTCAGTATAGAATAACAGTTTTGTCCTTCTAAAAAATTAATATTCTATCTTTCCTAGAAAAATGATTGGCCTATAATTATAACTGAAATGTGATATTTAAAATGGCAGATAAAGAAAATCTAATTAGAATCCCACAACATAGACCTAACCATTGTTGACAACCTTCATTACTTTTCCTAGCTAATTTCTGGTCTACAGTATGTTCTTTTTATTTTTCAGAAATATTTAAAGCTGTTTAACATAATATGATAATTATGTAATACATATGGATAAAAAAATTAATATCAGAAATCATGTTCTTCCAAAAGAAAATCCAACCAAAATCTAGGATTAAGTGGTAACATTCATTGAGCAATAATTCATTTTAAGCTTCTAGCAGCCAGGTCAAAAAATAAATATGCTAAAATAAATATTTGTTTAATAAAAGACCCCGCTTTTTTCTAGGAGAAAAAAAAATCCTAGTACTATGTTTTATGATGCATTTATCTTTTAACATAAGAGATATTGGCTAGTATGATAAGAAACATGATCAACTGAAATATTAGAACCACTTCTCATATTTCATCTTGAAAAAAAAGATAAAAACTTAAGGTCACCAGAGTGATAAATGGCAAAAAAGCGTTTCTTCAGGAATTTCAATGATTGGAATCCCTCAGCAATCAAATAAAGAGTTTGGGTATTTTTTATCTACTCTTCATAGATGCCTGGCAAATACTTACTTGCCTGACTTGCATTTTAAACTTGTCCATTTAACTTTTCCACCAACTAATCCTGCTGACTTCCTATTTCCAGGGAGATGAGGAGGCCAGTCTGGGACTGCCAATCAGCCCGTTCATGGACCGCTCTGCGCCTCAGCTGGCCAATCTCCAGGAATCCTTCATCTCTCACATCGTGGGTCCTCTGTGCAACTCCTATGACTCAGCAGGACTAATGCCAGGGAGGTGGGTGGAAGACAGTGATGAGTCAGGAGACACGGATGACCCAGAAGAAGAGGCAGAAGAAGTAGCAACTGAGGAGGAAACCTATGAAAATAATGAATCCCCAAGTAAGTTATAAAACCAGTTTCTAACACTTTTTCTAGTGATTTCTTTCTTAGGTTTAGAGGAATGTTTTGCTTTAAATAATTACATATTCTGAGTCCAAATACCCATTTACTTTATCTGATTCTGGGTAGCCTTCTTCCTCAGTGTCATATGACAGAAATTCCATACTCTGCACTCACCCTACAAGGATGTGTTCTTGGTAATGAAGTTAAAAAAAAATAAAGAAAGAATAAAGAATTGAAGCCTGTTCTTTCAAGTACCTAAATGGTTTGAGATGAAAGAAATATATGTTGCCATATAAATCAACTAGAGGCTTCTCATGGCATGCTTCAGGGAAGGCCACATGAACAAGTTAAGAGGTAGCATTTCATTTTTCTTTCTTTTGAAATATTTATTGAGTACCTACTATGTGTCATATATTCAGGTTTGAAAGGGGAGATCCATAAGGCAAACAAAGCAAAATAAATGATTGCCATTACAAACTTACATTCTAGTAAAATCAGCAGACACTGAGCAAGACAAGAAAGTAAACCCATCATACTGAGAAGTGGAGGAGGAGACCTGTAGGAGGACAATTGGAAACACTACTGAAGAAGTGTATGCAATTTGATATATAGCTTCATAAAATTTTCTATAAGATATCAATGAAAACAAATAAAGAGATTTTTAATAAGCTGACTGAGTTTGCATTTTGGTTTGAGTGGTACGTGGGAGACCTAAACACAAAACAAACCCACTACCATCAAGTTGATGCTGCCTCACAGCAATCCTGTAAGACAGTGGAACTGCCCCTTGGAGTCTTTCAGGCTGTAAGTCTTTCTGGCAGTAGAAAGCCTCATCTTTTCCCTCAAAGAGAGAAGCAGTAGCAGGGAAATTATATACAGTTTGTCTTGTAGGCCTTGGAATCTCTGGGTGACACAAAGGGTTATGTGCTCAACTCTCTTCAACCAAAGATTGGCCATGTGAATCCACCCAAAGGCACCGTAGGAAACAAGCCTGCTGATTTACTCCTGGAAAGTGACAGCCATGACAACCCTGTTCCCCATGGAGTCAGTCTGAGTCAGAATCATTTTGATGGCAATGAATGACACGGATCCCCGGGGGCTCACTGTTGCTAACTGGGGGGTTGGTGTTTTGAACCCAACAGCTAGCTGCTCAGTGGGAGAAAGATGTGAAGAAGGCAACTTTAGAAACACAACGCAGCAGTTGTACTTTGGATTGGGATGTGTCCAAATTCAACTCCCTGGCATTGGGGTGGGTTTGGGGTTAGGTCGGTTATGTGATAGATTTGGCTTTAATTTTCAGCAAGATGGGAAGCTATGAGTAATATTCAATTTGTGGAGAGTTTCATTCTCGTGACTGTTGTGAATTGATTCAGATAAGTTGCGTATTTCTTTTTTTGTTTGTTTCATGTTCACTGGGATTGCCTCATATTATCAACATCTCTATAAATCTTATATTTGCTTCTCTGTGGGAGTTAGAAACATTGTATATAAGCTTACAGATAAATTTTTTAAAGTTACAGACATTTTAAGCACAATTATATGTACTATTCATCTATTTACATATTTCTGTACACAAATCATAAAAAATAAACTCCAAGGATGAAAAGGAATGAGCAACATTGGCATTTTGTCAGTTATGGTAATAACTCCTTTTGGGAAGGTCCTGGATTATATGCATTATCTCTGGGAATGGAAATGACATTTTTAGTCAGAAAATTAATGAGAACTTTATCCTTATATTGACTGGTTGTTATTTAAATTCAAACAAAATTGGAAACACCTATACATCAATCTATGTATGCATCAAGCATTGAAAGGCTCAGGCCAGGAGATTTAACAAGTTCAATTTGTAAACCTAGGCTTAGCACGTGCTACTACCAAAGATTTCATTCTTTTTTCAAGAGTTGGGTAACATCCAGACTTCCAGTTCCTATTGTGCTACTCTCCTGACCTTCCTTTAAAAAAAAACACACATCAAATTCTCTAAAGCAGCTAGGAGAATTCTGTGGATTCTGTCCACAAATGGCTTTCAAAAGTAAACTGGACATGTAAAAGTCAAATTTACAATATTCCATCAACAAGGAGTTGATATCATAGCTTTTGAAAAATTATCTGTGAAGTGTTCCCTTCAAGTCATGAAAATGATTAATGTTGGGCCATGGTAATATTTATTTGCTAAAAATTGGCCACATGGAATAATGGAATTTTAGATCTTGAAGAAGAATCAATGATCAACGAATTTAGCTCTCTCACTTTATAAAAAAAGTATACCAGAAGTTAGATAATTAAATAACCTCTTCAGATCAGAACCAGAAAAGAAACCCAGTTTCCTTAATATTTTTAATGCCATTGCTCTTTGGCACTTTAATTTCAGAATTCACATTACATCAGAGGGCAACCTTGATTTAGCTTGGTACTTAAATTGGACGGGGGAAATGAAATTAAATGTGTATTTGTAAATTCTGAGATTTGCAAATCTTGGACATCTCCCAGGAAACACAGGATAAAATGTTTCAATATGGCATGCTA